TCCCCCTTAAGTCTCCTCTTTGTTTGTTTTCATCCTCCTACCCTTACAATTTGTTTTGTTGCCCACTAACTTTGTTGTTTCTTACAGGTTACTGGTGCTCAGGTCCTTAACTTGTCCCATGCTAAGAGTCTTTTGCCTCTTGCATGAAAGGCTCTTAAAATTGTATTCTAATGCCTCTCTTTTCTTGTTTCTTTTGCCTTTGCTATTAAAGCTTTGTTTTATTATTTTTTATTACTTTTCCCTTATCACTTGAACCTCCCCCTTTTTCTCTTATCCAATGAAAAACTTATGAAAATAAAAATTATACAAAATCTTTTTAAAAATTGAATAGCCCTCTCCCCCTTGTTTTGTTTCATTCTGTCTTGCTCTTTTGTCTTTATGATTTGAGTTTTCACCATTTTTTTCTTTTGGACCAAGTCGGGTTTTAAATCCAGACCTTTGTTTTGCTTAGGTTTCTATTATTTGGATCATTATTTGGGTTCAATCTTTTGGATCATTTTAGATTTGTTCTTAATTGGGCTTGAAAATGAGTCATTTTATGGGTCATTATGGGCTTCTAAAAATAGATTGCATAATTGACCTTTTAAAATGGGCCTGAATTAATGTTTTTGACCCATGTTAAAAAATGAGCTCGAGTTAAGAATGTTAAATATTTTAGACAAAATTCTATGTCTACAATGTTTTTTGCATTCATTACATTCATTGCATGCAAAATAAACATAATTTTTTAATCAAATTTGTCATTTGAAAAATGAATACTTATTAAGAAAAATCAAAAGGGAGAAAACAATTTTTGGGAAAAGATAATCTTTTGTAAAGACTTTATGTACAACTAATAGTTTTCTCAAAGATGAAATTTTTAAAGTTTCCAAGCTTTTATTTAGGTAGCTTTTAAAAAATGAAAATTTTAAAGTTATCATGTCTCTATTTAGAGGAGATAAAATTTTTAAAGTTGTCAAACCTCTATTTAGAGGAGCATTTTCAAATATGAGATTTTTAAAGTTGCTAAACCTCTATTTAAAGGAGCTTTTTTAGAGAAAAGATTTTAAAGTTTCATAGCCTCTATTTAGAGAAGCTTTCTAAAGATGAGATTTTTTTTAATTTATTTTTGCAAAATCTCTTAAGGAAAAAGAAATTTCTTTCAATCCTTGTTCCCAAATAAAATTGATGTTTTTGTCTTTACATTATTTCTTATTTAAAAAATATATTAAAAAAGACAACTGTAGACACCTAATTTTATCTAGGCAAATTTTAGCTAGTTGTAAGACTTTTAAAGTCTAACCCAATTCAAATCCAATATTTCTTTAACATAGACAAATTTTTGAAACTAAATTTCAAATCAATTTAACCCAAATACCCCATAGTCAAACTTGATCAAATAAAGTCAAACTTGATCAAAATTAGTCAAATTAGATCTAGCTTAGGTCAATCTTTAAATTTCATAATTGAATGGGATTAATGAGGCTTGGGATTGAAATTTATGATTTTCATACACTAAAAACTCTTATTGCCTTTTGGGATAGGTAAGATTATCAAAAAACCCTTTAAAGATATTTTCATAATTTGATCTTCATAAATTAGATTTTCATGAAGACTCTCAGATCATTTTTAAACATCAATTATGATTTTTGATATATTAAAAACTTTGATTACACATTAAAAATGTGAAATTACTAAAATATCCTTTAGAGGTATTTTTATAATTTAACTTTTTCAAAGTTGGTTGTTTGCAAAAAGCTCTATATCATATTTTTATATTATTTCATGATTTTTAGTGCATTAAAAATCTTGATCGTATCTCGAAAGATGTAAAATTACCAAAATACCCTTTAGGGTATTTTCATAATTTGATATTTTCGAGGTTGATTTTTTGCAAAAAGGTTTAGATCATGTTTTGATATTATTTCATGACATTCAATGCATTAAAAACCTCAATCATACGTTTGAAAGTGTGAAATTACCAAAAAACTTTTTAAGAATATTTTTATAATTTGAGCTTTTTTAGGTTAATTTTTTCTGAAAAGTTTCTAATTGTGATTAAGCATTATTTTATGATTTTCAGTGCATTAAAATCACAAAAAAAAAAAAATCACAGGTTTCAAAAAAAATCACACATAAAGGTCAAACTTTTAATATGGGCAAAATGGTCTTTTTTCACTGTTATAACTACAATAAAAGCTAATTTTTATGTTGTATTCATTATGAACCATCAATATTTTAATAGGTTAGATCCAAGGGTGAAAGGTGATTGTTTGGTGAATAAACATAAGAAGGTATTAACCTTTGGATGGAAAAATGATCAAGGGCTAACATGCATTTGCATGGCCTTTATATTCATCATTTAAGGCTTGAAAAGAAAAAAAAAAGGAAACAATGGTGGCATGAGAAGGGAGAAAAAAATGAAGAAAAATTTTGAGAAAAGCTTGAAAAGGTATAATTCTATCATACTTTTCACGTATTTTCGTAATAGATTTTATGGTTTCTCACTTTTTTTTTGTGATTTTTCAAAGAGGAACAACCCTCTTTATAGTTGTTTTCATCCATAAATACAAGCTTGATCCATTAAAGTCAATTAACTAAGCCAATAATATAGATTGAAGTAAGAAGAATGAAGGAAAATCAATATTTGTCCACCATAAGAGGTTTGGCCAAGCCACCCATACTATGGCCGAACTTCCCTTTGCTTGGTTTATGTGTTTATCTTGCTAGTATGAATGTATTATGTTGGGTTAATAGTTGTGTTAATTGCTAATTGCATGATACTTTAACCTTTTTTTGACTTATGCTTGGTGTTTGGATAGTATGTTTCTAATGCTTTCCTTTTTAGTAATTTATTAAAAGTTTGTAGAAAATCCTTTGAAAATAAAATGTTTTCATAAGTTAGTTTTCTATGTATTTGATTTATGTCTTAGCTAAATAAATAATGGAATGTTTTAGGATAAGCCATGGGAAGCTTTTGGCCTAGCACTTCACATTGCTTGGTCGAAACTTCCAAGCTTGTCTTTCATGGCCAAAAGTTTATCTTTCATGCCTACTTGTTTATGTTTTTCGCTATAACTTTATGTTTTCTATGTGTTTGATTTAAATTTTTAAAGAATAAAAATGTTGAATGAATGACTTTCTTTAGTATGTTCAAACATGTTTTTATGTGTGAATATGGAAATGAAGTGGTGGATACATTGCTTCCTACATTTGGCTAACACAATGGGAGTTTAAAAGGCTTCAGACGTTCGGTCAAGCTTCTAACCATAGCTTTGGTTTCCATGTTTATTCTTATTTCATGCATTAAAGGTTACAATTTTTACATTGACATCTTGGTTATCTTGTTACATGGATTGCTCATGCAATAACAAAACCTAAACCCCAAACACAAACCCTAAATCCCAACCAAAACCCTAAACCTTAAACCTTAAACCAAATCTTAAACTCTAAACCATACACTAAATCCTAAACCAACCCAAGCCAAACCAAACCAACCCCTCAAAACAACCTAACCCATATCAAACCCCTAAATCCTAAACCCAATCGGACCAATCCTAAGACCCAAATTGAACCACAACCAACCCAAGCCGAACCTAACCCCCAACCAAGTCCAAATTGAACCTAACTCCCCTAACCAAACCCAAACCAAACTGAACCAACCCCTCCAAAATCTAAACCAATCCAAATCGAATCAGCCCCTCCTCAAATGCTTGAACTAAATCGGACCAAGTTCAAACCAACCTAAGCTAGACAAAAAATGACCCAAATCGAATCACCACCAACCCTAAAACCAACCTAAACCCACAAACTAACCTTAAACCATACCTAATCCCTAGACCTTAACCAAACCCCAAATCTTATTCTAGGTCCCAAATTCTAAACTAACCACAAACTCAAAAAGCCAACCCTTGATGCATACTCTTGCATTTGTATTCGATCGATATATTGTCACATGCATCCTTGCATTGTCATTTCATTAATGCATTTACATTTTATCATTCATGTTTTTAATTGTTGTTCACATACATTTATTATTGTAATCATACCTACCATCCACATACTTTGTAAATAAAATCTTTTAGATAAAATGTTTCAAAATAATAATAAAAATAAGATAATATTTCAAATAAAAATAACTTTTGAGATATGACCTAAATATATGGAGAGTCTCAATAGTTATCATTTATGCAAAGTATTATCTTAATTTTGTGAAACATTTTGAAAACTCCTAAAGGTAAAATCATTTTTGAAGCTCCACCTAAATATAGAGAAATTAAGAAAGTATTTCAACACTTAGGATTTTTCATCTTGATCTAAAAAAAATTTACTTTTAAATAAAATGATGTATTTTCAAGACATAAATTTTGAAAAAAGATGATTTTTGGAATGAATAAAGGAATTGGTTTGTAAACATTGAAAGTAGGCTCATTTTCTAGAAAAATCCAAGGATGACATGCAATCAACAAGTATTATTTTTAACAAGCGTGTAGAGGTGATAATCCTTTTTCACCCATAATAGACTTTCAAACTCAATCTTATTTTTCACAGACCAAAAATATTCTTTTAATAAATTTTAAAATTATTTTAAATATTTTATTAAAAAAATAAAATTTTAAAGTGACTAATCTCATCCTCACAAGAATTAGTGAAAACTCTTTGGTTTTGATTTTTTTTTAAATACTTTCTAATTATTTTCGTACGTCCTTTCCCAGACCCACATATTGTAACAAAGTCTAGAGTAGAAAAGGATGGAAGGACGAGAGTCCATCCACAAACTCTGTTCCCCAACCTGAACCTCATGTACTAAACTATTACCCCCTCTGTTGCCTAAAGAAACAAAACTGAAAACATATTTCCCCTGCCCACTATCCTGAAGCATATTTTCCCTGCCCAATATGATTCCGACGCGTGATGAATCTCCTTTATAGCTATTATCAAAGAATCACTCTCCACAATTACCCTAACCATCCCCAGTGCATATGCAATCTGTAGGCCCCATAGAACTGCTCTTACCTCTGCATGTAAGTTTGATAATTTTAATTAATATTTGGATGATGAAACATGACGTTATACCGCTTGACATATATTTCTACAACTTTCCAGAAAACTGCCATGCATTTTCTTGATGGATCTTAGACAATTTCTCCTTGACGTTTATCATTCATGGGGTCATGGAGTGAATGCTAGGCTATGCTGATCTGATCAACCAATAATCTACTAACGTTCAACTCTTACCATTTCTTATTCCTATCTCTTTTTTAATGCTACGAGCCTTTGCAACACCAACCAAAAAGTTCAAAAGCTAAACCCCAGAAAAGCAGCCCACTCCCATCAAAATAGTAATTGCATGCATCAAACATGATGTGCGAACAGAGGTACATTAAATACAATTGATTTCATATGAAACAAAATGGAGATGCTAGACGCTACTAACACTCTAGACACGTTCAAGCTTACCAAAGGCAGTGTGCATATAATAAATCAGTCAGGGAATCAAAATGAAATCACCTGTCAACAAAATCACTTGTCAACAAAATCATAGTTACTTAAAACAAAAGGTTTTAATATTCAGTGATCTTATTCACATTTGTTGCATCCAAAAATAAAACGCTAAAAAGCAGCTGATAGCTGACATAAGAGGCAGTGTTTTACTCCTTTTACCAGAGAACCTCCCATATATTACAAATTCAAAAAGTGAAGCAAAAATCATCAAGAGGAACTCACTTCACAGTCAAGATCTTGATCACGGATGCAGTTCCAATTCGATGCAAAGCAACAACAGAATCCCCATTCTGGCAGAGCCCCTTTTCCTTGGCATGCTGAATGGCAAACTCCAATGCTTCCTCTGTTGTCTCTTCATGAGAAGCTCTGGCAGATCCAGCATATAAAACCGGGACCAAACCACGAAAGATTAAACTGTGCCTTGCTGGAGTTTCATCACTGCATGACCAATCGAAATAATCAGTCTTGATCTCAGGGACAACCACAGACAAAATGGGCATGCCAGGCCTGTACTTGGCCACCAGCTTTGCAGTACTTCCTCCCCTGGTTAAGACCAATATAAGAGCTGCTTTTGCTGAATTTGCAGTTTTAACAGCTGAAGAAGCCAGGCTTTCTAATGGACTCATTGGCACAGGTGAGTGTTCAATAGTCCTTTTGAAGACATCTCCGTAATCAAGTGTGCTTTCTGCTTCAACACATATTTTGGCCATGGTCCGGACTGCAAGTGCTGGGTAAGCTCCAGCAGCAGTTTCACCACTTAACATCACACAGTCTGTGCCATCAAGAACTGCATTGGCAACATCAGTGGCTTCAGCCCTTGTTGGTCGGGGAGACTTTATCATGGATTCCAACATCTGCGTTGCAGTGACAACAGGTTTTCCTTGGATGTTACACTTGTAAACCATCACTTTCTGTGCTAAAAATATCTTTTCAATTGGAATCTCCATTCCAAGGTCACCTCGTGCCACCATAAATGCATCTGAATTTGCAAGGATGTCATCAAAATTTGCCACCCCTTCTTGATTTTCAACCTACCACATATTTTTTGAGAAAAAACAACAATCAGAGGAAATCACAGTGGCATAATAAAATATTAACCTGTCTTCATGGATATAAGAATTAGACATAATTCTTTCTCCCTATCTAACATGTATTATTAGTCCCTAACAAATTGCCATCATTGAATTTCATTATTATATGAGTTTTCTACTTCAAAACTTCTTGTTAGTAGCAAAATGTTTCCGCCTATAAATTTCTAACAATGTGAGGCATAAGCAAATGAAATTATCGATTCTCGTTCCTTAGTGCAAGGAAAACAGTGTATAAATCATATCTGAAATTCTTCAAACATACCTTTGACATGATAAGAATATTCTTAGCATGCTTTCCCAGAAGCTTACGAACCCCCACCAAATCCAAGCCTTTTCGGACAAAAGAAAGAGCAATCATGTCAATTTGGTTGGGTATTCCCCATTCCAAGATATCTTCGTTGTCTTTGTCAGTCAAGGTTGGGAGGTCAACAATGACCCCTGGAAGATTAACATTCTTCCTCTCACCAAGAACTGCAGAGTTCTCACAGCGACATTGAACTAAACCCTTTTCTTTGTCACAAGATAAAACTGTAAACGAGATTGTCCCATCTGCACAAAGTATGACCATCCCTGGTTTAACATCCTCAGCCAACTTTTTGTAACTCATACTTATCAGTTTCTCATCACCTTTTATGCTATAGTCAGTTGTTATGGTGATTTCTTGACCCTGTTTCAGCTGAATTTTTCCATCCTTGAGAAAACCAGTTCGAATCTCAGGACCCTGAAAGCTTATGTATGAATAAACAGTTAGGATTCATCAGCTTTACCATGTTGCAGTTAAGACTAAAATAAATAAAAATTTTAATGCTTTAGAAAAGATTCTGGACATTGGTTGTGTGATCACACAGAGCTGTTCGGACACTCTATAAATGTTTAATGAAGAAAAGCAAGCAATTTATGAGATGTTTTATGAAGAATAGCAACTGTGACTCACAAAATAAATAGCATCAAACCAAGTCCTATCTTACAACTTAAAAAGAAATTTTCACAACAGCTATCGCTGGTTCTAATACACATAATCATCATCATTAACAGCCATCCTCCTCATAATTGGCTACTTAGTGCAGTTAAAAACAAGCTATGATTGTAGGAATCAAACTTTTGTCTTAAACGGAGATATCATATGCTTTAGCCCCTGATTGGCTAATTAGCCTAGTAAAAAAGTAGGCTTGGATGTGGGAAACAAAGCAGCAAATAGAAGCTTATCAGGTGAAAATGAAGAGTTGGAACATATTCTTAAAAAACCTTTGATTGTTCGCAATCATTAATAACCGTAAAATACTGTGATTTCGATCAGATTCTATTGATGTTGGAAACATAAGAAACAAGCAACCGGATAAAAACAAACAAGGAGACGAGAGATTAATAGTATTCATCGTTTAAAGAAAAAGATTAGTTAAAAATGAAAAGATATTGTGGAATTACCTTGGTATCGAGCATGACAGCACAGAGAATACCGGTGTTGAGCATGGCGGCTCTGAGATTGTCAAGGGTTTCCTGATGGTAGGCGTGAGATCCATGAGAGAAGTTGAAACGAGCAACGTTCATGCCGGCCTTCAACAGCTTCTCGACCATAGCTACTGACCGCGACGCAGGCCCCAGGGTGCATACGATCTTCGTCTTCGGCTGCTTCTCCAATTTCGCTGCTCCTTCAAGTTCACGATTATTATTCATTTCCGTTTTTTTTTTTAGCAAGTATTTGTAAGATGAATGGAAAAGAAAAGGAGACACCCACTCCCAATCCCTGGTGTTGAGAGGAAGACGAGATTTGTCAAAATATTTTTATTCAGAGGAGGAAAAGAAAAGGACGAAGATTTTAAATCAGCGAAGCCTGTTTGGCGACGTTATTTATTTATACAATAAAAAAATATATAGTAATAATAAAAAATAAATAAACAAGTGTTTTTTGGTTTCCGTGTTGCTTGAGTAACAAGCTGAGAATCTCTAAAGAACATGATGGGCTTGGTTTCTTTAAAAGCAAAGGGGAGGTTCTCTTAAATTTTTTTTTTTTTTCCAATTTGTCAATTTGACAATTTTCAATGCAATAATAATGCTATTCTTTTTTTATAATCTAGTTCTTATTATGAATTAAAACTTTGGTCTTTCACTCCATATTTGTTATATTCATTGGCTAGAACGTTTTACTTTGACTTGGTATAATAAAAATATATGTGTATACCATTTTTACGGAATTTGAAAGTTATTAACCCATGAAACAACAAAAAATTGAAATTCACGTCTAATTCTTTGTTTGGTGGAATTCACACTCATAAACTTCCATAGATACTGCTACTGTCTACTATTTCATATTTCAATTGCCAACAGTAATATCTTGCATATATCAAGCCGAAATAAAGAAAAAAAAAAAAAAGCACGTAAGGGTGGATCTGGAATTGGTTCATTCATGTTCAGCAGAGTTCTCCGTAGAAATACTTCTATTTAACTGCATGCCATTGGTCGTTTGCAGTTGCTGGCCTGCCCTGTCCTGCTGCCTGCCTGCCACCCTTCACCTCTTACAACGTAGTGTGATTAGGAGGGACATGGTTTGCCATTTTCATTTTCTCAGCCCTTTTAACTCACATTTTGGCGACCAACTCAGCAATCCAATCGTGGCTAGACTTTGCCTTGTCATATGCGAATGTGAGCCCCGTAGAAAGTAGCGACGCTTAATTTTTCACGAGCATGCAACTGTTACTTTTGAACCACTCACTCCCCACCCTTCTCTCTCAGACTTCGTGCGTGCTCTTAGAAAACGAGAAAGTCAAACCAATTGACAGCAAATACAATGGTCTAGAATCAAAGAAAAAAAGAACACCTTCGCCCATAGATGCTCAATGGCAAAAGCCATCAGACCCAATGCCATCGGTAATTCGGTATTCGACATCTTCGGAAAAAAGCTCGATTGGATTCCTATCGAAAAGCCCAAACTTAAATCTCCATATGGACAAAATAATTCAACTACTTGCCATTTGCCATGTTGACTGAGATCTCATAGGTCATGCGTCTATTTTGTTTCCTCTGGAAAAAAACATAAAAAGAAAAAAAAAAGAGCTAACAATGAGAAGATTGAAATAACACATTTTTCAAGAATTCAAGCGTTTTTATTAGAATTTTCCAGATCAATATTCCCGCCAGCCAAAAGTACTAGTAAGCAGGATTCTCCGGTCTACTCAAGAATTCTAATGCTACAAATACATCTATTGTTAATGGTGCTTCGAAACCCCCATGTTGGCAAAAAAATTGAATCATATACCAATAAGAAAATTTCGACAGTAAGCAAATTATCAAGAGAAACCATAGGTCACTGAAACTAATGCTATTAGTATTCTTTATAATTATTCTATGCAGAAATCCAAATAAGCATGACAACCAATTAATGTTACCAAAATCAGTTCAAACTCTGCCAGACAAATATAATTGCACCTCAATCCATCCATGTAATTGCAATATGAAGCACACTCCCATACAAAAAAATTTTCAGGAGGCCACCTCAGACATTGCTTGAAATCCTTCATTCTACCAGCCAGCTCAAAAAGGCCACATTCTACATCTCTTCATTACGAGGATGGAACTGATACGTTTTGTTACGATAGATTAGTTAAGGAGTCAAACATCCTCTACCGTGTCCATGAAATTTCTATCCAGGTTCCTCAAAGTTCATCATGTTCCCGAGGTTGTTCTTTATTCATCAAATCTAATTTATGTTGCAGCTCCTATCACAGTTTAGATTTATCACAGTTAGATAATTCAAACCAGCAGAGAAGAGTATTACATCACTGAATTTATTAAGTAATTGCCAATTACCTTCAGCTTATCCTCCAGGCAAAGAGCTGGGGTGGACAGTAAAGCTACATATCTGCCATGACAAACTAAATGTTAGGAGCTTGTGGCAAATAAATAAATACATAAATAACTGTTAGGAGCAAGACATGTGTATGTATGCACTCACATAAAACACACAAAGAGAAAGGGAGAGAGAGAGAGAGAGAGACTCTTACTCGCAACGGCTTGGTTCATCGACATCAGTTATCTCGTTTTTCAAACCACATCTTAATTTCACCTGAAAGGAAGAACACGTTTAGAGTTCTAGAACAACTAAATCAACTTGATAATCAACTTTACAATTCATTCTTGTTTTACACACTTCTCACTCATGCAATAGTCCATAATAAAATTGGAAAGATAAAACCATTTCAAAATTAAACAGCCCATTCATTTGAAAGAAAAATTTGTGGACATGAGCCCCTCTAGTAACAACAAACCAGAACATGAAAACTGCATAATGTGACAGTACCTTCATACTTCGATCTGGGCCATTCCAGCACCTATCTCCATTTGAAAATACCATCATCCTGTATAAGTCCTCAAATTTGTCCCAACGCCTAGCACAACCCCCCGCCCCCAAGAAAAAACACATGTAAATAAGAAAATAGGAAAACTATAAATATTCAGTTTGAAGAAAACTAACAAGCTAAAAGGCTAAAAAACCTACATGCATTCACCCATGCACAAAGGGACAAGCACAATTACATGATTGCATCTAGTCCTATGCTACTCATACTAGGGATGAGCGATGAATAAGAGTATGTGTCTGATACAGGTGGTGATTTAAATTTTTTTTCTAAAGTTTTTTCATATATTTGGAGGGTTAGACCTCAATACCCATGTTTTCAGATATGTGTTGGGCAAGGGAACTGCTAGGCACATACAAATAACATGCATGAATAAGATACCGCCATTTTGGCTACAATATGGAAAACTACAAATCCAAAAGGAGGCCTTAATTTATCCTAGGAATTCAATGCAGCATATGAATAAATAAACCAAAAGTTCTCCAAATAATGATTGATTAAAGAGCTAAGAGATTCAACTCTAGCATTGATTTCCCATTGGCAAGAATAAAAATTTGTTGACCTCATGGTTGAGAAAGAGCAAATAGATTTCACCTAGCATATTCATCACCCAAATGACACCTCAATTTTCCACTATAGAAAGCGCAAGGATTCTATCGAGAGTTCATTTTCCATACATGCCAGTGAAAATGTTAAACTTCACAAGCAAGATTAAAGAATTGACATTTGTTTATTTATTAATTAATTAATTTTTAATATTCACAAATATACCTTATTAGGACCCTCGTCAAACCTTTAACCCTATTGGCGGAGTCTAATAACTCCACCGCCAATGTATGAGATAATTTTCCTTCTATCAATGAAAGAACAAAATAAATGCAATACACCTACCCCAAACGAGTTGTTGAATGGCCCTCCTCTTGAGTAGCTTGTTTGTATGGGCAGACTTTGTAAACATACCTGAAGCCAAAAGTCTTGGTCATAAACGTGAAATAATGGAAATTATTATAGCAACAATTTTGTTTAAAAATCTATATAATAGTATGTGATAACTAAACAAACTACTACAACAAGAAGTTCTTAACTTGTTCTGCTTGCTCTCAAAACAATGATCATAGAATGCATAGAACTCCTTCTCTGGTCCTGTAACATTAAACCCAAGTTCAGTTTATAGAAGCCAAAGCAATACAATTTGTTTTCACCATTTAGACACTGAAACACTTCAGTACATACCAAAATCATGTTTTAGCTTTTGTGTCAAACTTGATATCCTTGATTGTATTTTAGATAACTTGGCACTGGATTCATCATATTCCTTGCGTACATAAGCAGCCTCTGAACAAGTCAAACACAATGGGTTACCCATTTCCATACAGTCGCTTAAATTTTAAGTAGTAAACAACAGTAGGATTTCAGTAAACACCTGATATATTTACTGGAGTTTTGAATAAATTAACAGCATCAAGGATATTCCTAACTGTTCGTTGTATCTTCTCCAACCAAGATGGGTTATTTGAGTAAGTTGTATCTAACAACATATTCAACAATAAGCTTAGTGATTGCATTAGCCCAGCTTAAAATGAAATCTTGACCAGAAAAGAATTGCACACCTGACAATTCAGGTTCATCATCTAAGTCAGATTTGTAAAAAGTTGTATCATCATGATTCTCCTCTTCATAACCTTCATCTGGTTCACTATCCATATCATCATCATATTTTCCGTTGTCATCATATTTTCCAGTTTCCTCATCGGTATCAGACACATAGCCATCAAATTGCTCATCATGTGTGTCCTTAGGTATCTCTTCATGGCTGTCATCAGCATTATGTTTTATTCCACCTTCTTTCTCAGTGCTTTCCCCGGTCCAACGGGAAGCAACAAGGCGACCTAATTCTTCCCTTGACAACCCCTCCGCGATTTCAGATGCATCACTCTCCTGCAGACACCAAAGAGCAATTATGTAGACAAACAAAGATGGAGCAACTCAGAAACTAGTCAAGTTTATGTAGGCCAAAATTTATGAGAAACTATGGGAAACCATTTAGTTACAACTGGTTGTAATCAGTGTAACTGATTGTAATCTGCTGATTGTAATCTGTATGTATTTGTATCCCTAAAATTGAGAATTTGTATCCCTAAAATTAAGGTCATAATATCAGGATAGACAATCCCTTAATTATAGGGATCAGATTTAGGAATATTTAGTTTTCTAGTTTACCCTTTAGTTAGTTGTATTTAAACCTATGGTGTTTGTATAATTCGATAGACAATTTTTTCCATATACTCTCAATTTTTCCACATAGGATAAGAGCTTTAGGCTCTTCTTGGGAAGAAAATTTTTAGCCTGCATTGCTGAATTCTATTTGAGGGCTTCATAGCCAAATTCTGTTAAGTCTTTCATACTTTTATTTTTCTTTTTTTGGCCTTCATTGCCTAGACTCATTTTAGTCCTAAGAAAGATAACCATGTCAGAACTAGCAGAATCGATCGCTACTACTCGATTTGAGGAAGTGACAACTGGTCAAACCACAGGAGAACTACAAAATATCTAAGCTGCATACAGATCGAATGGAAAGAACTACTTGAAATGGTCTCAGTTAGTTCAAACCTTTCTAAAAGGGAAAGGAAAATTGAGCCATCTTCTTGGCACTGGTCCTGAGAGAGGAGATCCAAAATTTTAGGCATGGAATGAAGAGGATTCCATGGTTATGTCATGGCTGTGGAATTCTATGGCACCAGATATTAGTGACACTTGTATGTTTTTGTCCACAGCCAAAGACATTTGGGAATCAATTCAGCAAACCTACTCCAAGGTTAAGGATGCTGCTCAAGTCTATGAGATAAAGATCAACAAGACTACAGCTCTCAAACAAGGGAATAAGTTAGTCAGAGTATGCTATTCTTCTAAAAATTCTTTGGCAAGAGATGGACCACTACCGGTGCATAGAAATGAAGTGCAGTGAAGATGCAGCAACTTTGAAGAAATTTGTTGAAAAAGATCGAGTCTATGATTTTCTTGCTGGACTTAATGTTGAGTTTGATCAAGTCAAAGTCCAAATTTTGGGAAAATAGGATTTGCCTTCTTTAAATGAGGTGATCTCCATGGTTAGAGCAGAAGAGAGCAAAAGAGGAGTGATGCTTGACATTCTGCATGTAGAAGGATCTGCTATGATCTCTAATGGTGGGAAGAACCAAAACGTAGAACAATTACAAGTCAAAGAGAAAGGGAAAGGTGATTTGGCTAAAACCTCAAATCATGACAATCTTTGGTGCACCTATTGCAAGAAGCCAAGGCACACCAAAGATTGTTGTTGGAAACTAAATAGAAAACCTTCAATTTCAAGCAAAGAACGGGGTTATAAACGAAGACAGCCAAGAAATCAAGGACAAGCTCACATGACTGCAATGGAGTTAAACCAAAAGAAGTCTCAGGAACAAGGAGAGTTGGACAAAAAGGAGATTGAGAAACTGAGAAGCCGATTGCGAACTCTTGAAAAGACTTTTGGTGTATGTTCCTTGGCACACTCAGGTAAGGTCTCTAGAGCAAGTAAAGTTTCTGATTCTCATGAATTAAATGTCTTGGATAAGTCTATTAAGAGTTCTTAAGTCATTGACTCAAAAGCCACAGGCCACATAACACATTCTTCTAGAAGTTTTGTACATATACCCTATGTCTTGGTAATAAGAAAATTATTGTTGCAAATGGCTCACTTACTACAGTGGCAGGATTAGGAGATTTTCAAATTAATCCCTCATTTGTTCTTAAAAATGTTCTTCATGTTCCTAGATTGTCTACTAATCTGATATCTATACAAAGACTTACTAGAGACATGAACTGCAATGTGACTTTTTATCCCTCTTATTGTGAATTTCAAGACCAAGATTCGGGGAAGAGGATTGGAATTGCTAAGGAGAAGGATGGACGACACTATCTTAAGACATCCAACAGCACAAGTAATACTAAGAATAGTTTACCTTTGTCATTTCTTTCTAAAAAATCTTCCAATAAAGATAAAATCCAGCTTTATCATTTTCGTCTTGGACATCCTTCTTTTGGAACTTTGAGAAACATGTTTTCTTCTTTGTTCAAAGGATTAAACATCAAAAATTTTCATTGTGATGTTTGTAAACTTGCAAAGCATAGATGTGTGTCTTTTCCAAATAGTAATAAAAGAAGTTCTACTCCCTTTTACTTGATTTATAGTGACATTTGGGATCCCTCTACAGTTCCTAATATTTCTGGTGCAAGATGGTTTGTTTCATTCATAGATGATTGCAACAAGGTCTCTTTGGTTTTTTTGCTTAAATCCAAATCAGATGTGAATAGTGTGTTTTTAAGCTTCGAAAACATGATCCAAAATCAATTTGGAGTGGGAACCAAGAGATTTAGGTCTGATAATGCAAAAGACTATTTCAACTAAAGTCTATCTACCTATTTCCAAAAAGAGGGGATTATCCATGAGTCATATTGTGTTAATACTCCACAACAAAATGGAGTGACAGAAAGGAAAAACAACCATTTACTAACCACAACCCAAGCCTTCCTTTTTCAAGCAAATGTACCCAAATCCCATTGGGGGGAAGCTATTCTCACTGCCACACACATTATAAATAGGTTACCTTCAAGGGTTTTGGGATTTAAAACTCCTATGGAACTACTCTCACAATTCTATCCCAACTTTAATACCACAAGCAACCTCACACCTAGGATATTTGATTGTACATCATTTGCTCATGTTCACAATCATAATAAGGGAAACTTGGATCCAAGAGCAATTAAGTGTATCTTTGTGGGGTATTCATCAACTCAGAAGGGGTATAAGTGCTACCATCCTCATACCAAAAAATTCTATGTGTCTGCAGATGTCACTTTTAAAGAAAGTAAAATATTTTTTACTCAACCTTATCTTTGGGGGGAGACATCATTTATGGAAGATAAGGATAAAGACTTCTTTTTGCTTGACTTGTCCTCTTCCTCCTCCAAAACAGTTTCACCCATTAATTCTTCTAAGTCTAAACCCGTTTCTTCAGTGTCCAAGTCAAACACTAATTCTAAGTCTGAACCCTATCCAAACATAGAAGCTGTGACTAAGGATTATACTATTCTTGATTCTATGAAGGAATTACAAATGTACTCAAGAAAGAAAGTTCCAGCTTCTGAACTAGTGCAAATCCAAGAACCTAATCCTAACTTTGGAAATGAGGTAATTACAATCTCTTACTCTATTTCTCAAAATGAGCATGAATATCCTAAAATTAGTGATTATAATCTGCTTATTGCCATTAGGAAAGGAACTAGAGAATGTACTAAACATCCACTATAGCCAATCTCTAATTTTGTGTCATTTGAAAAAACTATCACTAACCCACAAAAATTTTCTTGTGAGCCTAAACACTATTTCTATTCCAACTACATTATCTGAGGCATTATCCAATGAGAAATGCAAGTAAGCCATGAAAATAAAAATGGAGGCTTTAGAGAAAAATAAGACATGAGAACTGGTAGAGTTGCTTACAGGGAAAAATCTAGTTGAGTGTAATTGGGTTTTCACTATAAAATACAAGGCAGATGGTATTGTTGAAAGGTATAAGGCCAAGCTAGTGGCTAAGGGCTACACTCAAACTTATGGAGTGGATTATCAGGAAACTTTTGCTCTAGTTGCCAAGATGAATATAGTTAGGATTTTGTTATCCTTGGCTGCAAATTACAGTTGGTAGCTTCAAAATTTTGATGTAAAGAATGCCTTTTTACATGGTGATTTGGAAGAAGAAATATATATGAAAGTTCCACTGGGATTTGGAGGTCATCTAGAAGCAAACAAAGTATGCAAGCTGAAAAAGGCTTTATATGGCCTTAAACAGTCTCTTAAGGCCTAGTTCAGGAGATTTGCCAGGGTGATGTTAGCAATGGGATACAACTAGAGTCAAGGGGATCACACACTATTTATCAAACACTTAGATTCAGGAAAAGTCACAGTTTTGTTAATATTGTTGATGATATAATTGTATCCGAAGATGATGAAAAAGAGAAAATCTCTAAAACAGTGTTTGGCCAAAGAATTTGAGATAAAAGAGCTAGAGAGATTGAAGTACTTTTTAGGAATTGAAGTAGCTCACTCACGACATGATATTTTTATCTCACAACAGAAATGTATGATGGATCTTTTGAAGGAAACTAGGAAGCTTACATGTAAACCAAAAAGTACCCCTATAGATCCTAACATAAACTTGGAGAAGCTAATGAAGATGCTATTGTAGATAGGGAAATGTACCAGAAATTAGTTGGAAGACTTATTTATCTCTCACATACTAGACCTACATAGCATATTTTGTGAGTGTGATAAGTCAATTTATGCATAGTCCTAAACAAGTGCACCTACAGGCTGTCTAGTACTACACTATTTTGAAGGCTAATCCTAAGAGAGGTATCTTGTTCAAAAGAAATTCAGAGTTGGTACTAGAGGCATACACAGATGTTGATTATGCAGGTTCGGTAATTAATAGAAAATCTACCTCAAGGTACGACACTTTTCTAGGAGTAAAAAATAGAATGTGGTGGCAAGATCAAGTGCTGAAGTAGAGTTTAGCAAAATGGCTCAGAATTTGTGAACTACTATGGTTAAAGATTATCCTAGAAGACTTGAAGATTAAATGGGATGGACTAATGAGACTTTACTACGATAACAAGTCTACAATAAGCATTGCACACAATCCTGTGCAACATGACAGAACAAAACACATTGAAGTAGACCAACACTTCATAAAGGAGAAACTAGACAGTGGGTTGATTTGCACACCATATGTATCAACCAAGGGTCAACTTGTAGATGTGTTGACTAAAGGTCTTAGCAGTGCAACATTTCAAGAAATTATTTCCAAGCTGGGAATGGAAAACACCTATTCACCAACTTAAGGGAGAGTGTGGGAAAACGTTTAGTTACAATTGGTTGTAATCTGTGTAGCTGATTGTAACCTATTGATTGTAATCTGTATATGTTTGTATTCCTAAAATTGAGAATTTGTATCTCTAGAATTAAGGACAAAATATCAGAATAGACAATCCCTTAATTATAGGGATTAGATTTAGGAATATTTAGTTTCCTAATTTACCCTCTAGTTAGCTGCATTTAAACCCATGGTGTTTGTATAATTCGATAGACAAGTTTTTCTGTATACTCTCAATTTTTTGACAGAAACTTGTGCTGTTTCTTATTCTGAAAAATATACCCTGCTGGAGTAAACTGTACACAAGTAAAAACCCTAAAAAAGAACCTGTAGTTCCACACACATTGAAAACCAAAAATAGAATCCTACCCAGGATTCCTTCCTTCATTTCACTCTCAGACCCTTTTTTATACCCCAGAACAGAAAATTACTAAAGTAGACAAAAAGGAATACAGAATCTAGAACACAAGCAAACATATTAGCTGATACAATGTATCTGAAATTAACCTGTCTCCACTTCAAGCCTATCATAGGGACAATTAAAAGAACCAAGTTTTTATCCCAATGCAAGATAAAATCTTGATAATTAAAACTGAAAACACCAGCTTAACGTGTTTAGGTACACCTTTTTCGAAACCTTTTTTAATGATTTCATCTTTGTTTCTCCTTTTTAAGCCATTTTCGAAACCCTTAATCTCTTGTTCCTAATACAGTTTTTGTTGATTTATTTTAATCAATGTAACCATGATCCTTGGGCTAGATAAACTATTCAATCAAACTTTCCAACAACATGCTTCAATTTCTTATTTCCAAAAAGCAACTTAAGGGGGCTTATTCCCCAAGTCCAATTTGATAGCAATTTCTTTATTGAATTATAGCATAATATCATAAAAGCTTGTGATGAACAAGGAAAACTGGGGAGTAGAGAAAATTACCGCTTTCTTGTCTTCATCAGGTGATAATTTGCTTCTGGCACCATGATCTATTTCAGTTGAAACAGAAGAATCATCATGGTGTTGTGAAGCAGACACATGCTTATTTTCCAACACATGCTACATAACAAGTAAGAATGTGTCATTATCTAAAGATTGAACTACAGTAGACAAGCATTTGGAAGTTCTATGTGAAATAAATGGACCATTATAATGTCTTCACATACCTCTTCTACCCTATTAAGAGGAACTCCTTTGGTTATGGAAGTATCACTATTTTCAACTTCTGTTGCTGGATCATCAACAATGTCATCTACCTTGATTTCCTGCAAAAAGGATGACAAAGACAAAGACAAAGACAAAGAAAAAAGTAACAGAAGAATTAAGATGTTCACTCATCTAAAGACACATCAAGAGAATATTAGAAAACAGCCAGTCCAACCTCATTTAAAGAAGAATCCTCCATGTTACCAATTGTTGTATCATGTGTACTTTCTGTGGGTTTATCTTCATTGCTAGCTTCTTCCTCAACTTCTTCATTTTCCACCTTCCCTTCCTCCCCAGCTTTCCCATTTTCTCTTAAAGCTTCCTCTGCTTTTCTTTTTTCGTTCTCTTCCTTCTCTTTCTGCAACCTTTCTTTCTCCTCTGCCTTCTCAATCTGTTCTTTACGTTCTACACGAGGCAAACAAACAAATTATGTTTCAATCAGCTCAATATTAACAGGTATAAGATCAAGAAAAATGTAGGCACAATTTGTGGACCCTTAAGTCAAATTTGAACAGCACATGGATGAAAATTTGATTATTTGAACTGTTGATAGACAAAAAGTTTAGGTGCTATTTGAAAAACTGAAAACTTTAATGCAGAATTTGTATTGTAATATTGTTTGACATAAAGCATACAATTAAGTTCAGTAAAATTTCTGATTGGGTTTGATGCATAAGAGATAGACAATAGATTGTAATTGCAATGGTTCGAAGAAGAAAGAATAGAAGAAATTTTAGTTAGTACAATAAATATAATGTTGTCAGACAATAAAAAAGTTTGACCGCTTCTTGCTACTTAACATTTTTAATACCTTTTAACTTAAAATATTCAATCATGTAGCACCCTTAATGAATAATCAATCACAATGAAGCAGGTAAACCTTCGAAATTTTATTTTTCAATGCATTATAAATAGCACCTCATTTTGAAAGATAAATAAGAAGGAAGAAAAAAAAAATCATATATAAACAATGGACTTGTGTATTTTGAACACCTAGTCATGTGATGAAGGAGTTGGTAAAAAAATGGAACTGCAAGGAGAATAAGGTGGACAAGTACTTTGCTATTTTCTTTAATTCATTGTTTGGCTTAGAAAATAAAATGGGTAGCCTTTTTTCCACCTGTTTACGAACCCATGATTGATGACTAAATAGAAACCCAAGATCTCAAATATTATAAAACCATATCCACTCATATTAAGGCCATATAAGAGTGGGGATTTAGGATTGTGATGGCATATGCTATATATGCATCCTTGAGATTTTTAGCTTACTAGACAGATGATAAAAACAATGACGCCACCAATTATAGTTTTGGGAACAAAATCTTGTTTCAGGTAAGCAGATGTGATGCCACATGTGAAAGCATTTACCTTCTGCATGTAAAACTTTTCAATCACCAGTCATGACGAGAAAATAAATAAAGCACTTAAACATACACATGCAATCCAAACTAGATTAAGTAGAATATTGACACAATCACACTGATAATAGGCCGAATATCAAGGAATATTCAGAAGAAAGGGTTACCTTTAAGCTCTTGAACAAGGCCCTTCAATATTTTCTCCTCATTTTTAAGCTTTGTTAGTTCTGCTTCATCTTTGGCTATATCTATTTTAGCCTGTTCAACTTCCAGCTTTCGCAGAGTAGTCCCCTCCTTATAAGTAGTGATTTTTTTTATCAGCCTATCTCTAGCCACTTTGCCAGCCTCCCAGCACGTATTGGGGCACTTCACTTTATCATCGTACTCGTCACTCCCATCACAACAATCTGGCGACACGAAAGCAGTGAAAGGAAGCATATAAACAGAGAGCATGAGAGGATCGATAAGACTTTATTGTTGCAAAAATATCAGCCATTTCCATGAATGCAGTGGACTTACCACAGATACCATCATTGACCCTGGAAGAAAATAAGAATTGCGGAACGTGTCCAGCATTTTGGCAGTAGAACTTTGCAGATGGGCAGGCCGATGTACCTATGAGGGGAAATGAGAGTTAATAAGAAGATGCCCCATATCATGTGTAGCCATTAAAACAAAAAGAAAATCCAAGGGAAGCGTAGACCAGGCTCATCGGTGCCGTCAGGGCAATCGCAGAAGTCATCATTGAGCTGGGATTTGGAGAATTTCTTGGATCCATCTTTGCACTTGATGCTATCTGATGAGGACTTGTAGTAATTCTCATCTGGGTAGCATTCATATCAGCTATTGTCAGCATAAGTAAAACAAAAAGTTTATTAAAGAAAGATGAAAATACCTTGAGGAGAAATTCCAAGAAAAGGGTTTTTGGGAGCACAAGAAGCTGATCTAACAAATGAAGCTACGCATAACACAAGGAGAATGAATATGGAAAATACTCTCATCTTCTGCTCCAATCCAAACCTACCCAATCTCTAAGAGATCCCAACAGAGAAGGCTTCTAGTCGTCCACAACTTACAATTGGGTCTGTGTAGAACTTGGAGCGACGCCAGAGGCAGGCATTTCAGGGCTTAAAATCGAGAGACGTACAGTTTTCTTTCCAGTTTAAAAACGACGTTGTTTAAGGAGTGTATAAGATAAAAGTGAGGCTAAAATAACATAAAAACCTTGGAACTTTAAAATATTATTAGATAAATTTGTATATTTTATTACATTTAAATAAGTTATTAATATTTAATTTGATAAATTTTTAATATTTAATTTATATTTCAATAAACCCTTAAATCTTTGATTTATACTTAAATAAGTCATTAATATAATTAATCTTTTTATCATCTTTTATATAATTAATATAAAAATCTAGAGCTTTTTTAGTTAAATTGTTTTTATATTAATTATATAAAAAATTAATTATATTATATAAAATGCTCAAAAACCCTTAATCTCTTATTTATATTTAAATAAGTCGTAGAGCTTTTTTAGCATTTTAGTTTTGTGGACAACCCATTTAGTATGGGATTTTTTAAATTTAATTTTAAGATTTTAATATCTTATTTTGTTTAGAATTATTTATTTTGTTAATTAATTAATTTATGGTTTAAAAGAAGAAAAAGAGAAAAGTTTGATTCAGTTTGAAGTCTAATATTTTAATTAAAAAAGGGAATGTGTTGATTTGAGAGGTAAACTTGGATTAAAGTTATAAAATTAACTTTGATTAAGAGATTGAAAGCAAGGAAACATTTTATTATTGTGATTTGAATTAAAGGCCTATAAAAACACCATATTAGAATCAATTAGATATAATGAAGAATCAATAAAAAAAAAAATCAAAAGAGAAAGAGTAAACCAAAAAACAAAAAAATTAAGAGTTTTTTTATAGTCTTTTCTGGTGTTTTGTTTTCTTTTAGAAGTTCTATATTGGGAAAAAGAGTTGAGAAGAAACACAAAAGTGAGGCATTCAACAAAAAGTTTTATAACAAAATTTTCGAAGGTTTCAAGTATATATGTCTTAGGCTTCTGTTTGATTTTTGTTTAAACAGAAAAAAAGGTAATCCCCATAGGCAAGGGACATTAGTGAAGCCATAGGTTATTTTATAAAGAAACAAGAAAGAATACAAATTAATTTCTATTTTTTTCTTTATTTGTATATCTATTTATGTTATTTAGTTGTTGCTCTTTCTTCTTTTATGCATATTTAAAATAAAATTTTATAATAAATTCATGATTCTTAACAAACTATTGGAAGATTTTCATGAGTTTAAAAATTTTAAATTAAGTTCTACCATACGATTGGAACACTTAATAAATTTTTTAAAAAATAAAATTTTAAATCTTACCAAACTATTGGAGGATTTAATGACCTTTATTTTGAAAAAAAGTTTTCAAACAAAAAAAAATCTCACCAAACAATTGAGGGATATGCATTGATATAAATCTTACCAAATAATTAGAGAATTTTGTTTATTGATTTCAAAAAAATAATTTCTTAGAAAATATGTTAATGAATCCGATGATGAAGCCCCTTCAAAATAGAATATTAGTCTCCATAAATACTTTTGAGGTGAAGAAATTATTTTAAATCACTACCAAACAATTGGAGTAACTTTAAGACTAATTTTTAATATTAAATTTGCTTGGTAAAAATATAAACAGGTTCAAAGGCTTGGATAACACGAAATCAAATTGGTACCATTCTTTGATGGGAGTTGTGAGGGTACTTTAACCTTCTTCACATATAACTATCCTCCCAAACCTAAATTTGGTTTTGTAGACATGAATTTACCTTTTAAAGATACCTAAGTCAAGCTTGGGATTATTCTTTAAAGTGAGATAGATTCAATTAGGTGGTCAATCACAATTGAACCAAAAAAAAAAAAAAATAGTGGCAACTTCTAAAGTCAAGTCTAGCTATAGGTTTATGGACTTATACATTATAACAGTTTAACAACTCCATTGAAGATAGTCAAGAGTCAGGCTAGTAAACTTATGTTATTCAAAGTCTAAGTTAAAATTAAGAATTTTCTTTGAATGTTTTGTTTATTTATAATTGTACCATATTTTGTCAGTCGCTTGCATCTACATAATATGAACTCTACATCCGAGCTTCGTCCATTAGAAAAGACTTAAGTACATACGATCTTATGAAATTTTATGTCTTTGTCCAAGCTAGCAAAACACTTTTACTTGAAATTGAACCTTTTCCATTTATAGCTTGTGATGGATGAGAATTTTGTTGCCTTACTAGTCTATGATGGATACTAATGTAAGAAACAATTTAAGAATCTTTAGATTTAACTTAAACTACATGTAGTTAACTTTAAGAAGCCAATCCTACATTAGAGCCATGTCCACCCATTGTTAGAATGTAACTTAAGTTAGAACACATGAAGGAACTTTGGTAATGTCATTTGTATGAGTTTTGTGATAAACTTGAAAAAGTTTTAGTTTTATTCACTCTTTTATGTGTTATGCAGCATTCATATATTTATTCATCCATGCATCATTGAATTTTTATGTATCTTGCATCTAATGCATGCATTCATCATTCATGCATTATTATAAGGCAAACATTAACTCATGCATCCATTCATGCAGTCATTTGTTTATTTATGTATCATTATGAGGCAAACATTAACTTATACATCCATTTATGCAATCATTTGTCAATCTATGCATCATTAAATTGTTATGTGAATGCATTTATTTATCCATTCATGCATCATTGAATTGTTATGTGTCACATTCAATATGTGCATTCATTTATCCATTCACGCATATAGAAGAATACTTTTTTACAAGTTAGGATAATTCTTGACGTCTAATAACATACCATCCTAATTGTGGTAATAAAGTTTGATGATAACTCAATCTTTGTAACAAGCCAAAATTATGGCAAAAGAATAAGCTTTTCACTTCCAGAAAATGGAAAAAGCATAAGAAGAGATGAATGGACAATTAAAAGATATGGCTGAATTGCTGAAGAATTTAAACAAATAGAAAATAATGGATAAATAGATTGATGATCCAATATACCTACTTGGCTTTGGCATATATTTTAGACAGACATTTTAAAGGGCTTAAAATCAAATGCATTTATAGTAAGCTACCCCTACATGCATATTGATATGCTTGCAACTACTGCTTTTATTCACTTAGCTCTTATTCTTGATCCAACTCAAGTTCCTAATTTGAATGATCTAAAAAAATGAAAGAAGCTAAAGACAAACATAGTAGAAGCAAAAAAAGGCTTTAAATCTCAACAGAAAATGGATTTTATTAAATAAAGCTTTGAATTATTAACGGGATGGATTTTTATGGTTCAATGGATGCTATTAAACTATGCTTGGTTCTTGATGTGGTCATTCCACCCAACTTTAAAGTCCCTAAATTTGAAAAGTATGATGGAACCAAATGCCCCTTAATGTATGTCAATACGTACTGTCACAAAATAACTGCACATGTACGTGATAAAAAGTTGCTCATCCATATTTTTCAAGATAGCATTATTGGATCTACTTTAAGGTGGCATGTTCAATTGGATAGGTCATGCATCTGTGGTTGGAAAGAACTAGCTAAGGCATTTATCATACAATACAAACACATAATAGATTTAGCTCCATATCATTTATTTTTACAAAGCATGAAAAAGAAAGATATTGAAAGCTTAAGAAATATGCCCAAAGGTGAAAGGACATTGCTGCCCAAGTTCAACCACCACTCACTAACAAAAAGAGCACGGTTCTATTCATCAATACTCTCAAAGCCCCATATTATGAAAGAATGATTGAAATGCTACTAAAAATTCTACTAATATGGTGATTTCTGGGGAGATAATAGAAAATAAAATCAAGAATGGCAAATTTAAAAGAAGTGGTACAAAGGATGCAAAAAGAGATGCTACACCAAATAAGAAAGAAGTACATGCTCAAGTTATGATTTATGAGGGGCAATAGGCTAGAGGCTTCACCTCATGTCAGCTTTATCCGATATAACTACCTTATTACCCTTTTATAAACAACCTCTCTTAAGATTCTTATTTTTGTCAACCTATGCAGCAGTTAGGCTTTCATGCAAATCCTTATCCTCAAACAACTGTTACCCAATTTGGAAATAAGTGAAAATGGTCAAAGAATAATTAATAGAGAATTTCAATCTTAATTTTTGACATATTGCCTTTACTAATAAAGCACTTATTCCTCATCCTTGTGCCTTTAAAAATAACCACAATCTATCAATAAGAAATTATGATCCAAATGGTAGATATGATTATCATGTGGGAGTAATTAGGTACTCAACTAAAAGATGCAGGCAATTGAAAAAGAAAATTGAAAAAGAAAATTGAAAAACTTATCAATAATAGTACTTTGATTGTAGAGCTTACGGAGCAATGGAAACCTGTTTTACAATAGTTTTTCTTTTAGATATGTGAAGTATCAAACAATTTGTATGAGAATTTAAAAAATTTGAGATTTATTGTCTAAGTTTTGCTTTGACATATGCATGAGTTTTTGCTTAAGTTTTGCTTTCAATTTTATCTGCATATAAATTCTTGCATTACATGTGAAAATAATCTTGAAGGAATTGGTAATTATTGTTAAAAATGAACATACCAATTATAACCAATTCGTACTCTAGTTCAATTGAGAATTACAGCATTTTAAAGCCTGGTTTTTCAAGTATCACAAATTTGATTTTCACTTGATCGAAAGGGATTTCAATGATGATAATTTTCATTAAGGCTATGAATAATGAAATTTGCAAAATCTTTGTAAGCCAATACATAAGGTACTCTCTTTAAGAGTATGGATTTTAAGTAATTTGATAAGTATCAAGGCTAGCCTAAACGCAGCCTAACCTCTCTAATTTCTTTCTTACGATATAATCACTAAAAAGTCCATATCCCTTAATATCCTTGTTCCAAATCTTGATATTTGTTATATCCCCTTTATTTCATTATCTTAAAATTTTCTTTTCCCCACATTTTGGGGCCAGTTTACCAAAGAGTCAAATTATCCTATTTTTCTAATATCCTTTCTTCGCAATGGCATTGATTTTATCTTTTTATGTGAGTTGTGAAATTCAAGATTGTTATATTGGGACTTTATTTAATACAATAACTTAAGCTTGAGTTGAA